CCCCTCATGGGGCTCGGCAGTGGAGCTGCAAGGCCGGTGGCGGCGGCCAGGACCGTTGGGGGCGGGGTGTGTGGCCTTATGACACACTTCCGGTGATGTCAGGGGGTGTGGCCTTATGACACACTTCCAGTGATGTCAGGGGGTGTGGCATATGCTAATGAGTTATGCTAATGAGTCCCCCTAGCTCTTTTTCTATGAAACGACCCCTGCATGTAGGCACATGCATTTGGACATCATGGGTTACTGAAATCAGGAAATCTGTTTCCTCCTCACAAATTCTCCTAATGCCCCAACTTGCAACAACTGGATTAATAGAATCTGGGACCACTATATTATGGAGAAGATCACTGACCGATTGCAACAATCTGAAATATATCCTAGACAGTCACGTTTTAATGAGAAACGGCTCCCATTTTTTAAATATATCCTAAAAACAGAATGCCAACCATACAATCCAATCTATCTCACTTTTTTACACTCATAAAGCACGCTTTGTATAAGCGATACCTCTAGAGTTTAAACACCTCACTGACTGGTTGTGAATTCTTGTATCAACTCTTAGACATCACACAAATTAGTTAAAAGTGTATTACATACACTTTTCACGCTGAATCTAGTTTAAAGTTTGGTAAAAAGTATTTGTTGTTCTTATATACTGTAACGAATCTACAATGGTACAATGTGTTTGGTGATTCTGATGTTGTGATTCGTTCTTGACATACTAACCCTAACCTTATATATACCTATGTTTCTTTCTATATTGGTGAAAAACAATAAAGATATTAAACAAAGAAACAAAACAAATTGGGATTCTAGCCCTCAGGTGCAGTTTAAAAATCCCAGTTTTGTGTGCAAGAAACGAGCTCCCCTTTCACAACGTGTGCAGACATCACCGTAAATTGGAAGTCTGATTCGAGGGTGCCAAAATCCGCGTACGGAAAGATGGGAGCACGTCAGCAGAGCAAACCAGACGGGCTTGAGCCAACCACAAATGTAAAAGGTCTGCCATGAGACCCCAGTGACACCCACATCTCCCAGATGTGTCAGAGTACTTTCATAAAAGCGACCATGATGTACAGTGGTTACGAGGCTCCGTTTTGTTGGGGGGAGGGAGGATGATTTCTCACTGCCTGTGATCGTTTTTAGAAATATGTAAGAATGTTCAAAATACTGAAGATAATTAATACTAATCTGGATGTTTAAATCTAGAACACACTCTCAGTCCTCTAAATGATTTATGCACTACTTGTTGCATGTTGCACTTTATTATATTTGCAGTGGTTGTTCAATGCATGAACCTGGCTATACTCACCCATCATCATGGCAAGAAGTACACACAAGAGTTACCCAAGATTAATTTCATTGCAATCTCCAATTTCACATTATCTGCCGGGTAACTTACTTGCATCTCCAAACGGCTGCAGTTAAACAACCATCGTTGTTAAGTGAAAGATCCACATGTTTCGAGAAGCAGGCCTTGGCCGCTCTAATTAGGTTTGATAGCTTAGAAGTATGGCGCTCACTTACAGAAATTACCCCCAGCACTTACAGAATTCGACACACATTCCCTGTTTATGACCATCCCCACCCTCTAGGTTGTCCAAGCCATTTTATTATGCTCAAATTGTCCTTCAAACAAAAGAAATGGCTGCAACTGCTAAGAGGTTTAATGACTTAGCCAAAGAAAGTACCTCCCTTCCCAAGAAAAAAACCCTGAACATAAATTGCTGTACTTATTCGTACTGTACATTCTTCATTCATCTGGCAAACAGAATAGCAAGTGACCTAACTGCAGCTATTACCCACATTTTGTCTATCACAGAAATTGAGTATACTCACATGTCCTCCGGCGTCCAGTGAAGGAGCAGCTTTATTTTCCCGGATTCCTCTTTTCTCTTTGCCATTACCTAGCAACAGCCATTAGAATAGTTATTTGAAACGTTTCTGCGCATCTTCTTCACTAACTTTAAAATACACAGTTGGCCGAATGCAGACACATATATATTGCCGTGCACGGTTTTTGTTCATGACTACTGATCATTATTTCATTCTCTTTTAAAGTAGGTATGGCTCATAAAAATGAGCATTCTCCCCTTACACTTCCAGGAGGAGAGGAAAGACAAGGTTGAAATAACATCTACATAGCATCAGAGAAGTCAGCCGTTTGCAGCCATATGGGTAGGGAGAGAGGGCTAGATGTCACAATGAGGCAGTAAGGGTTAGGAGCAGTGAAAAAGCTGCATTCTGTAATCCGTAATGGAAGCCCACTACTTTGCTCCAGCGTCTCTCTCCCACCTTGAGGCCTTGACACTTGGCTTTTCAGCATTAAGCTACGATTCTGCTTAAGGCCATTTCCACAGAGTAGGCCAAACAGATGCCTGAGAACCAAGTTCCCTACCTTCTACGTCAACACTGCTTTTCAAAAAGAAAGACTGTTTTGGACACCGAATAATTCTCTCATATACATTTCTCTTCGTGTAAAGGCAAGCTTGAAAGTAAATACTTGTGGGGGGGGGGAAATACATATGGCTCTCACACAATTAAGCAGGACAGCTCTCACAACTGTGCAAGTGGTGCAAGGACTCCCACTTTCCTTTGGTCCTACTTGTTTGCCCATTTGATGCCCGGCACTAGGATCACCTTTCCCCCCCCCCGCTTTCTGTAATTCACCTCAGTGGGGAAGGTGGGATATAAATAAATGGGACCAATCAATCAATTATCCCTGTGATCTTGAAGACAGCACATCAAATGTGTCTCTTTCTCTTTTCCTTTCATTCATCATTTATGCATGTTGCCCCCCAAATGGTGTATGAGGGCTGCATGCTGAGTCCTGTCCCTCCCCTCCCCTCCCCTCGTGGGGTGTGGGGGGGGGGAGAGAGACAGACAGATTCGTGGTGTTTCTAGATTTCTCCCTCTGTCAAGAGGGGTCACAAGAAAGAAGAAACAGGGTGGAAAAGAAAGGGACAGATTTAGACAAGAGAACAGGGGAGGGGTAACCTGCCTACTCAATTATTCACAAGGGCCAAAGTAACAAAGGAGCAGAATGACCCATACGCTAATATAAAGCATAGGGTAATGTTACATTTGAAATGCAAGTTTCACTAAAGCAAAGGTATTGCTGGTATTTCATCCACTAGACTCAAAGCTGTCGCTATAATACTTGACAAAAGATGAAAGAACCAAAAATTATCACTGCCATTTGAATTTATTCAGCTAGGATGGGTCCTGTTTATGCATTAAAATGCACTTTCGTGGTAAGAAACCAAATATTCTGGTTAGCATTCCTCTTAAGCATGGTTCCTATTTCCCCTTTGCCTATATAAGCAAAGGAAGAAACTGGGTATTTTACTAAACTAATTTTCCCTGTACAACCAATACAACTTGTAAGTCTTTAATTTGGTCACGGTGTGGTGTAATTACAGATATGCACATACTAGATGTCATGTTCCAGTACTGATTTCTTTCTCACACTCTACACCTCAAAGCATTTTCGCTAAGCCTAATATGCTACAAACCAAACAAGGAGTTTAGCTGTAGAAAAGCTCCCGAAGGTCTCCCTGAGCTGCCGTGGTAGTTGGAGGATACCGGAGCGGAAAAGGTACTCATCCAAAACCCTGGAGGCACACGCAGATAGTCTCCCTCTTGAGGGGAGGGGCCAGGAGCACCAACTCCCTGGTTAGGGCTAGAGCTCTCAGGAAGTTCTTGGACTTGACTCTTCGCAAGCACAGAACCCATATTGAGCTGCACGGACGCTAGGAAGGAGGACTGAACGGCTCAGATGCAAAGTGAACTGGATAAGCCGGTGCACTGTTGATCATCTGGAAAATTAACCTGTCAGAAATGAAGGTTAGTAGAAATTTTTAAAAAATGGAATTCTGCTGACCTCTACTGGAAAAGAAAGGAAAAGACTCAGAACCAGAATTTGCAAGACAGCGAACAATTTTGCTTTTTTAAGAAACATCAACCTTTCAGCCACTGTTCCACAAATTATAGGGCTATTCCTACTGTGTCATTAATAATAGCAGTAATGACCAATGCTCCCTCTAAGCTGTGGTGTCTTATGAGCAAAAATTCTACTTTGTGAGCTAGTGGCATTAAAGGTAAAAGGTAAAGGTTCCCTTGCTCGAAAGCCAGTTGAGTCCGACTCTAGGGTTGCGGTACTCATCTCCGTTTCAAAGCCGAAGAGCCAGCTCTGTCCAAAGACGTTTCCGTGGTCATGTGGCCGGCATGACTAAACACCAAGGCGCACGGAACGCTGTTACCTTCCCACCGAAGTGGTACCTATTTATCTACTTGCAATTTCTTGCTTTCGAACTGCTAGGTTGGCAGGAGCTGGAACTAGAGACGGGAGCTCACTCCGTCATGCGGCACCCGGGTCTCGAACTGCTGAACGACCGACCTTCCATAGCCTGCAGTTCAGCATCTTAATCACTTGAGCAAATTTGGCTGCTGCATCAATTAATTTGCTCTGGAGCCATCCCTTCCTGAGCTAAGACAAAAATGTGTGAGCCGGAGACTAAAAAAAACATGAGCTGGCTCACACTAACTCAGCTTAGAGGGAGCACTGGTAATTGACACTTTTAGCCAAAGGCACAAATCACTGTATAGGAACCCACACCACAAACCTACACATGTGGAAAGATTCTCCCAGAATTACTGGATGGGGTGTGCGTGCGTGCGTGTGTGTGTGTTAAGGGCCACCAAGCTGCTTTTGACTTATGGTGACGGTGACCCTATGAATTAATGACCTCCCAAATGCCCTACTGTTAACAGCCTTGCTCAGGTCTTGCAAACTGGGGGCTGTGGCTTTCTTGATTGAGTCAATCCATCTCAGCTTGGGTCTTCCTCTTCTCTTGCTCCCTTCAACTTCCCCTAGCATTATTGTCTTTTCTGGTGACTTGTCTTCCTCATAATGTGGTCAAAGTATGAGAGCCTCAAGTTTGGTCATTTTAGCTTTCTGGAAAAGTTCAGGCTTTATTTGATCTAGAACCCACTTTCCTTTCTGGCAATCAACGGTATCCGTAAAACTCTCCTCCAACACCACATTTCAAATGAATCAACATCCTGTCAGCTTTCTTCATTGTCCGACTTTCACATCCATGCATAGCAGTGGGAACACACATGAAGCTGACTTATGCTGCTTGGTCCATCAAGGTCAGTATGGTCTACTCAGACCAGTCTGTGGGCCATTGTTCTGTTTTGCATATTGGTTGGCATATTCTTGTTAAGCTTTTGATAGACTATTTCTGTGGCTTGGAATAGCTCGATTCATATCCCATCTACTCCTGATCAGTTTCTCCCAATTACTCTCAGTGCAATTTTCACTTTCTAAAATTGCAGGTTCTACTTCATAATGTTCTTTTTTTGAAGGAGTCTGTCATCCTTTCATCTAGTCTGTATACCTCTCTTCTGTATTGCTACCACACTTTCATTATTTCATTCTGTTTAGTCTCTGTTTAAAGTTTTTCCATGCTGATCTTTCAGCAAGCCTGCGTTTGAAATTTCCCTTTGAGTTCTTGGGTCTTATGGAACAGGGTACTTGTTCTTCCTTTCGTGTTGTTCTTTTCTATTTCTTTACACTGGTTTATTAATAGTTTTTTTTGGTCTGGATGTGCAAGTTCTTCGAATGCTGCACTTAGACTTCTGACTCTGAATTACTGAATGGGCCCAAAATAGTTAAAACCAAAGAGTTTGGGGTGAATGCTAGAGCACCAATCTCTGTGTTGACATGACTTCTGGGTCACGCTGGAAGTGATGAGCTAGCTCACACTAACTCAGCACAGAGGGAACACTGGTTGTGACTGAGAGCTGAACAGTGATGAATTAACTTCCTAAGCTTATTTTAAAAGTCTCGCATTGTTAGAAAGTCACCCAAGAAACTTGACTTCTTGAAGTATGCCATTAAAAGGAAAGGCTGTACAAATCCCTCAACAAAGTTTACCAAAATACGTTAATCCAACTGCATATATCACTGGGGTGTCCAGAATGGATCTGGCATGTTTCACCTGCCTCCACAGAATACTATTAGCCACGATGAGTTAGACTTAAGGCCTACAGTGTTTGCACAAGATGGAGGCTTTGAGACGGAATCCTTTGGACCCTACATCACTGAAGTAACTTGCAACTTTCTGTCGGTTTGCAGAAACGACACCATACCAGATTCAGAGATGTCAAGACCACAAACGTTTTACGCTGCAAATTTATGTATGAAACAAAGTAAGCGTAACATCATATCTTCGCAAGTCTAAGACCTCTTCACTTCTTAAGCATGGTTAAAAACATCATGTTAAGAGTCACAGAGCTCTGGTTTAGACAAATGGGAACACGTTCTGGGTTCCACTCATGCAATTCCCTTAGTTTCTGGAATTCCTCTGCCCACGGTTTGCTGGGGTATCTATGAGCAAACCATAATTACAGCTAACCTCCAAATCATTATTTGAAATCGTGGTTTATGGTGGATTTGCAAACCATGGTTTGAAAATGAATTACTGTGATTAGACAAAATTTGAAAATGGGAGGTGGAAATCAGTAAACCAGAAGTGATACAGGAGCACAAAAGCAGTCGTATTTAAAGGATCACCTGCATTCATCAGATGTTGACATTTTGCGCCAGGGTCAGCTCTGTACCAAGGTGACCTGAGGTGATCACCTCAAGTGGCAGATACCTCCATCCTGCCTGTCATCAGCCAATTGCTCATGGACTATCTCTTTAAAAGCAAGCTGTTCACACACGTTCCCAAACTCTCAAGAAACTCCTTCATCACATGAAACCTCGGCCACTGATTCCGGTTGTCAGCTGCCTGGGTTCATGGACACATGAAGCGGCCTTCCACTGAATCAGACCACTGGTCCATCAAGGTCAGTAGTGTCTACTCAGACGGGCAGCAACTCTCCAGGGTCAGGCCTTTCACACCGCCTAACACCTGAATCTTTCAACTGGAGATGCCGGGGATTGAACCTGGAACTTTTGGCATGCCAAGAAGATGCTCTGCCGCTGAGCCACGCCGCTTCCCCTAAATGGCATCAGAACTCTTGCAAGAGTTTGGAAGCCCTGTAGCTGGCGTGCAGAGCCCACTGTGCTATTCTGGGGCATAGACGAGGTGGCAACAGCAGTGAGCTGGGGGTAAAAAAACTCTTTAGCCCAGCTATGTAAAGCAGCAGTGGCTGCTGAGAGCCACTCAGGACTATTGTTGGCATTTCACACAAAGGTGTGCACTTGTAGCTGGGTCTCCAAAGTGCTTTGATTTATTGCTGCTTCTGCCACTGCTGTTTCTGGTCAAGATAAACAGAAGGCAGTGCAGATGCACGTGCGGCTTCTCATTTTGGACTGTAGGGGAAGACTGGCCCTTGGGAGGGGGGTAATAGAGAAAAATGTACGAGCAGCCTCCATAGTGCAGGATGCTAGACTGGGAATGGTGCTGATTGGAACAGAAGGCAGGAAGGGTGGAGGCAGTACAAGGAGGAAAGGCAGCAGATTTAAGCAGGAGGAGGTTAGGAAAAAGACAGAGCAGGAATTGGGTAAGCCACACGTCCCCAACGTGGTGCCCGTGGGTGCCACAGTGCCACCTTTTCTGGCACTCACCAAGTGTTTTAATAACACAGGTGGGGCCAGTTATGGCTTCTGCCCAGCAAGCCTTCTGATTCGGCACTGGAGATTCGATTGGCTGTACGGTTTTTAAAAAAACAAAAGCACAGGGATCTTCAATGTGTGACTGAAGGAAAGCTGCGGCAGCCATTTTGTAGTTGGCTTCTCCTCCTGTGGCAGACATTTTGTAGCAGCTGCTCTGTGCCTGCACCCACCGCAGTGTGTCAAAAATTCCAAAGGTGCCCGCAGGCCCCCCAAAAGTTGGAGAACCCTGGCATAAGCTCCCTCAAAAGGTTATCGGCAAGGTTTTATACTTAAGGTGACAATGATATATCATACTTTCTCTGATTAACTAGGCTTTTGACAGTTACAGCGAAATCTTTAAAAAAAAAAAAGTCTAAAAAAGATGCCCATTATTAAATGCATCCCTATCAGCCACCGGCGGATGCCACTGAGGTTTCTCAGAGACACAAGAGCATAAACTGTCTGGGGTACTTCTTGCATGAGGAGCATTTGAAGCACAATGCAGTCGAGAAAATCATTTCTTTGTCCCTAATGCGTAGAACTTCAAAAAAAAAAAATTAAGATTGTTTAAATCTTTATTACATAATACACGGCAAAGAGTGATAATTGGAATATTACTTACAGTACTGTGAAATACGACACTGTGGCCTTTTCCTAAACTTTCTATGTGAGCGGAGAGGTTAAAGCAGATGGCTCGATGCCGTATAGCGTCCAGAGTTTGTGTATCAAAGAAGTCGTGTGGTCTTGCTAGAAGGGAAAAAAGTTACTGTGAACACTAACGAAAGAGTTCAGTATCCTAATATTTAAGATATACTAACCTTCTTTAAGCAGAAAGCAACAATCCCCACTGCACATGTTGAAAAACCAATTTGGACCAGATGGGCTAACTCCTATAGCAGCTAGAACATTTCCCTTCCATCCCCTACTTTTCAGGGTGGCAAAATGGGGTGTGAACCTATATAAATGACTCCTGCTGCTCATTCTGGTTTGTCAAAATTTAACCTGTTCAATGCCATGCAAGTAACACGGCGTGCTTTTCAGTAGGTATTTTGGCTGGTGTCAATGTACCACTAAAAAGCAGAAACCCTAACGCTGTTCAAACAGTGATGAACAGCTGATCTCACAACAAGAAATTTAAAATAATACTTTAGGCTGAAATGCAAATTAACTCTTACGTATATAATATTAAGACGAGCTGAGTTCACCGATAAAACCTACGAAGTATTAATTTAAATGTATGCCTAAAATTCCACTGCTAATAAAGCCAAGCTAATGACTATATACTCTACCCCCCGCCCCCCGAGTACACTGTGGGTTTCTAGATGAATTAACTGATCTCCAGTTTTACCACAGCAATATCCAATATATACGGACGGCTCTTGTCTCACTAGAAATAAATGCAGGCTGTAAGAACACTAAGTGTTCATCTGCATGGGTTCCAAGAAACATGTAGTGCCTGAAAATTTGAAATAGTATTTGGCCTTGTGCATAGGGTACTGTGCATTGTTAGGTCTTTGGAGTTTTTATTTAACCCGGCTCTTATTCTTTCCCTATTCAACATAGCTAACAACTTAGGTCCAGTTCAAAAATTTGCTAGCCTGGTTACAGGCTTATGTGAAGTGGAATGTTAGAGTATCACTGAGCACTTTAGGCTGAAATGCAGCTATGAAGGTATCTACAGCAAGACAAACGACAAAAAGGAAAAGGCATATTAATTTATCTTTTAAGCAGTTCTTTCATTTACAGTATGACTGAAGATTTACACATAACGGCTTACTTAGTGGCAGGTTACAACAGTACGGAATGCAGATGTGTTGCTAATGAAATTTCCTAGCTGCAGCCACCTTGGTGTGATATTAAATTCTTAAATTTTATATAAAGAATGGATTCTGCACTGAACTGAAGTTGCACACATGAACTTCCCACATTAAAAAACCTAAAGGTATGAACAAAAGAAAAACATACCACTATAGAGGTTTTGTGAGGCTATAGTATAAAAAAGAACCATCAGCAATATAATTCCATAGAGAAGCACTGACTCACTTTACTATGTTTGCAAGCCTAAAATGTTAAATACTGGCAAAGGTGGCCTTTTTATTTCTTTTCAATTTTTCAACGGGAAAAAAGTGGATATTTAGGGGAATGGTACAAAGAAAACAAAAACCACAAAATGCTTTTCTTTTGGAACGAGTGAAATGCTTTTTATCAAGTTGTCCTTCACTCCGATGGAATCTGGTGTATGAAAATGCAGTACATAATGATGATTCCTATGTATATAGGACATATACAACATATTTCAATGTTTAGTGCTTAAAATGAATATTATTGCAGCAATTTCTATGCCAGCATGTGTTTGAGTATAACAGAATAATAAGAGTTCAGTGTCTTCAATGTTACAAAGTTTACCTTCAGGGGCAATCTGTTTGCAGTCCAAACCCCTCCTTCGTGGTACAGAACAAGCTGCAACGTTTTCTGGATCCTAACACAGATTTTGAGCTATGTAGCAAAAGTACTGTAATACCCTGAATTGTAATAATGCACTGGCAGAACTACCAGTTTGAATATTCGCTTTATGTTCGCCAGTGTTTGGTGGACACACAGCGCAGAGGTAAAAGTGAAAGAACCCTGGAGCTGGTAGCACACACTCGGCTGTTAGAACTAATTGAGCTCTTAACCAACAGCTTTTTTAAAAAAGAGGGTTTTTTGCTTAGGGTTCACCTGACAGCTCCCAACCTAGAGTGGGAATTGCCTCCACTGACAAGTCTGGTTTTTTAAATTTGAAATGGCATCTGATGATTTAAAAACCTTGCCTGTAGCTTTAATCTGTGACGGCTGATTCGTACCTGCAAGGCATCATTTGCAGCTAAAGGCAACGGGTGATGAACAAGCACATGGAATCAACCACAGATTGTCCAGCTCTTGGGTTAGGGTTGCCAGCTCCAGGTTTGGAAATACTTGGAGATTTTGGGGGTGGAGCCTAAAGTGGGCAGAGTTTGGGGGCATAATGCCACAGAGTCCAACTTCCAAAGTGGCAATTTTCTCCAGGTGAACTGAACTCTGCCACCTGGAGATCAGTTGCAATAGTGGAAGATCTCCAGCCACCACCTGGAGGTTGGCAACCCTTCTTGAAAGCTAAGCATTTTTCCTGCCTCCCCCCTTCCTGATGTGCTCACTGATATCATTCTCTTGAGGGGGGGCAGTGGAAGACCTTTGGGAATACTGTTGGGGCAACATGGGAGTCTGCAGTGGGTAGAGGATATTGGTAGCAATCACATGTGAATTGGAAGTGCAGCTTGTGTGACAGGAACCAGGATTCAATTCTAATCTACTGTGCTTTAGGGCTTTTCTTTATGCTTCATTTGCATCTGCGTTCTTCTAAGTAAGAAAAGCAGGACAGTAATTAAACAAGCATTGTTTCAGTAGGATCCTGACACGTATGCAATCGACTTGACCGGCTAAGTAAATTGATTAAAAATTCATTCTGAACTGATTGCACTCAAAGTTCCTAACAAATAATCATTAACGAGACTGTCATATTCTATTACAATAATTCCACGATGAAAAATACAGGCGTGTGGGCAGGACGAACAGAAAAGGCCACAGCCAAATGCAAACCTCATACTGCTTATCTAAAGGATTAACTAACCATGTATCGGCAAGATACCTTTTACCTATGGTTAGCCCCTGCAATTAGACAATTAATAGTGTGATTCTGAGTAAAGATAAGGGTCCGCGGAGGAAAAAAAAGCCCTAAAAATAACTATTATGCAAAAAGATCTTCCCAACTATACTGTAATATGTACACACTGTCCAGTGTTATTCACAGTACAGGCTAATGCAGATACATTATTTAGCCATGATTAAGAGATAGGGAGTGAGCACCAGCATGAATGCCTCCTGCTTCTTTCACGCTGGTCTTAAGCATGGGCCAAGATTACATGAACTAAATGGTGCCGCTGGTTCTTGGTATTCGAGTGTGATTATGTGGCCCCCTCTCAACTGTGGTTAAAGAGCTCTCCAACATCATGTGCCTGGCACTAGCCCTAGACAGACGTGGTAATGCCTCACATTTGACTGCCTAAAGACCTGCACATTACAGATAAATTAGTGGCAGATTTAGTGTGAGGCTACCAACTGTTAAATTAAGTGATCGGCTTCTGGATTTAGACAATAACTTGAACAGCAGACGTACTACTTCATAAAAACTGTTCTGAAGAAAAATAAACCTGCCTTGGACAGGAAAGAACTGATCTCCCTCAGTTTTGGGGGGAGGCCTCGTATTCCTCTCAGTTATTCCTCATATTCCTCTCGATTCTGCTAGATAAGTTGGGCTGATGAGATTCGCACCGCAGAAAGCTGCTTGCTCCTCAATAGGCTGGAACCTGGCTTCCTTTCTACCCCAATCATGCCTCAAACCCATTCTTCAAAATCCCTGCCCTGTCCCCTCCCTCCCAAAATTTTCAGCCTCACCTACTTCAGTCTCACAAATTCACAACTAAACTTGCTACAGAAACTGCCTAAATCTTTCTAAGAATGGGGATATCTTGCAGGCGTCCTCACTTTTAGTGGCAGTCCTACACGAACTCCAAAAATAAGCAGATGGCTTCCACCTCTGCAAGTCACAACATCAGTGTCACACGTGCAGTTCACAAAGAGGAAGAACTTCTTGGGTAAGCTTACTAAATGCCCTTCCTTCAGCGGTCTTGGAGGGCAGATATAAAAAAGTGTCATATTCAAAAAGAACATGTAGGGGCTCATATGACAAAGTTGAAACTATTGAACATATGATCATGGAGTGTCCTATATTTAACGAGTTGAGGGCCACTTTTTGCTTTATTTAAAAATACAGAAATGCCCAATGAGATATTTGATATCTGTGTGCTGCCTAGCAATCACCACCCTAAACTCGCAGTACTTTTAGAAACAGTTTTCAATGTCGTGTAAGATTATGTTGAGGGGAAAGGGGGAGAGAAGCCCCTAGGACAGGCCCTTGCACTTTCTGTCTCCACCCAGATTTTTGAATTTTCAGCATCAAGCAAATACAAATGCCCAATGATGATTTCTGTTGGGAAAAGGAATTACATCACAGCTGGCCATTACATTACGTTATTTCGTAACTTGGAAGGTGGCAGGTTCAGGCTTCTAACTGAGCCCTCTTCTGAGTTTTACTTGGGTTCCTACCTAGTACACCACTCTTCTGAAGAAAGCTTCTCGATCACATTTTTTCGAATAATCTGATGCTCTGGAACAAGGGGAGCCGTCATGGGGTGGGGGCAGCTAGCGAGAAAGCCAGCTGCTAAAAACGAGCAAGCAGGGCTTAAGGGTGGAATCGCAGAGGTTGCCTATGCTTACGTAATGAGCGCCTCCGTTTGTTCTTTAACTTCCTTCTTTTGTTCATCCCAGCTTTGGAAGGAGATTCTTCTTTCGCCTTTGGCTGATTGGCCACTTTTGAAGAATTCTGCTGGCTGAAGTGTGTCGGCACGTGACGGGCCAGCCCACTCTGAGAGGCGAAACTAGCGTTGCACCCTCCGACGACGCACTAAGCAAAACGGGAAACATTCAGTCATCATTGTGACCAACAGACAAGAAGAGATTTACTTCGCACTTCCATATAGGAATCTTAGGACATTTAAGTCAAAATCCCGACAAATATTTATTTTAAGCAAGTGACTACGACTGTCCCCCCAATATTGTTCCTATTATGACAGTCTTCCTGGAACAAGAAATGAATCAAAACTGGCTTCAAAAGGCTGGAGCACTGAATCCAGGGGTCATTTCGTAGAAAAAGAGCTAGGGGGACTCATTAGCGTAACTCATTAGCATATGCCACACCCCCTGACATCACCGGAAGTGTCTCCTCCCCACAGCCGGCGGCGACCTCCAGCGGGCACCAGCAGAGAGCTCCAGGCCCCACCCTCCCGCACCTCACCCGGGGGGATGGCGTCCCCCCGCGTCCCCCCCCCCCAAATGACCCCTGACTGAATCTATTCTGATCACACTGTGTGAACAGGCAGATCACTCTGCCCTAAATATCCTGAAGTCAGTCGGCCGGAAAAGATTTTCTTTCCCATTCCTAACAACAATGGCTTGTTCCTACAGGAATTCCAAATGGGAAAATACTCATTCTAGTATTTTTTTAAACTGAAGAGTAAAACGGAAGCCTGGCTCCCCTTTTTCAACAACCTTCGCCTGATTTTTTAACTTAAGAGAATGCCCCACATCTCATGGCACATACAAACCTTCATATAACGTATCTTGAGCTGACGGTGATACAACAGGGCATGTTAATAAGGTAACACAAGAGTTTGAGAGGAAATGTTCGTGTGATGTAAAATTCGCTCACACTTCTAAACCAACAGTAACACATTTAAGATGAGAGGGGGAATGCTTTTACAAGTTTTGAAAGCTAACTCCTGATTCAGTTCCCTGTAGGTAACCTATCTATAATAGTAGGCTTTTCCATCTTCAAAACCAGGTATGGATCAAATTCTAGAACATGCGTAAAGACATGAAAAGTTTAATGAATAACCACACCATAATACCAAGTGTAAGTAAAGTTCTTAGCTATAGGCCCTCAAATTAGGGCTCGTTTGTTCTTAAATTAAGCTATACAGGGCTAAAGGATTTCGAAAGTTGTTCAGTTGTGAAGGTTTAGAAGAGCCGAGTTCTAAAACAAAAGGTAGACGTAAGATTTAGTCCTCATATGAATATTTGGGGTAAATTCTACATTTAAACTGTCAGCTAAACTAAAGCCTGAAAATGTTTCAAATCCTGGCCTAGGTGGATGATACCATACTATGCTCAATTGACACAATTAGCTTAATGTGGAAACGGGATAGAAATGCTATATTTAGAACTTGCTGGCAAGAGCCCCTCGTACAACAGACAGCATGACAGTGTGTGCTACTAAGGAAACACCAAAATGCATTACAGAGAGAGGAGACCCTCCATATTCAGAGGCAGTTGACCTCTGAAACCCAGTGCTAAGAGGAAACAGCAAGAGGAAAGCCTTAGCCTCTATGCCCTGCTTGTTTGCCCTCCAGGGCAACTAGTTGGCTATGCTGCAAGACAGGATCTTGAACCAGATGGTCTAATTCAGCATAGCTCTTCTTAACAGAGTTTAAATGCACAATCTACCCTTAGCCTCATACCAGCCCACTAAATTGGCAGACAAAAAGCCATACCAAGATAATCCAATTTATAGAACATTTTGGAATATATGAAAGCCAGAGGAGGTAGTGGTCTTCTAGGGGGTAACCCAATAATTGTCCTTATTATTATGTGATATTTTTACATAAGCATGACTACCTGTGCCTGCTGGGACAAAGTCCTTAACACCTAGTGGGAGAGTCCACCATTAGGAATACAAAAGAGATGAGCTGATTACGTAGAACTTGCCCTAAGAATCTATCTCTAGAGAGAGTAAAGAAGAGCCCTCCTAGTGGAGATTCATTGTCCAAAGTGCAGGAGGTTGGTTTTGCAAACATGTTGACCATATGCCCTCCTTTACCACACCTCAAAAAGGATATTATGGGAAAAGTGCAGAAAAGGGTAACTAGAATGATAAAAGTGTTGGAACACTTTCCCTATGAAGAAAGGTTAAAGCGTTTGGGGCTCTTTAGCTTGGAGAAATGGCGACTGAGGGGTGACATGATCTAGGTTTATAAGATTATGCATGGGACAGAGCAGGTAGAGAAAGAAGTACTTTTCTCCCTTTCTCACAATACAAGAACTTGTGGGCACTCAATGAAATTGCTGAGCAGTCGGGTTAGAACGGATAAAAGGAAGTATTTCTTCACCCAAATAATGATTAACACATGGGATTCACTGCCACAGGAGATGGTGGCGGCTACAAGCATGGACGGCTTCAAGAGGAAACTGGGTAAACATATGGAGCAGAGGTCCATCAGTGGCTATTAGCCACAAGGTATAGATAGGAACTCTCAGTATGGGGCAAGTGATGCTCTGTATTCTTGGTGCTTGGGAGGGAAACAGTGGGAAGGCTTCTAGTGCCCTGGCCCCACTGCTGGACCTTCTGATGGCCCCTGGTATTTTTGGCCACTGTGTGACAGAGCGTTGGACTGGATGGGCCATTGGCCTGATCTAACACTGGCTTCTCTCATGTTCTTATGTACACCTCACAGGGTTTCTGTTGTGGGGAGGGGAAGGGAAAGGAGTTTGTAAGCCACTCTGAGTGAAGGGCGGGGTATAAATCCAATCTCCTCCTCTTCTTCTTGCCATCTGTGAAGGCTGGAGATATCAAGTCGTTTCCAGAAAGGCTGACAATGTGGGATGATTGTAGTACTTTTTGGCACTAAGGACACTGGGAAAATAGAGTAACGAAGTCTTGAAAACCCAAACTTAGGTTGTTAGATAAGAAGCCAAAGCCCAGGCTCTCCAAAGCAGTGTTTCTATAAGTGCTATCTGTGCCACATGCAGGGACAGCTAGAGAGGCTGAGTTGTAGGGTCAAAGTGTGAGATAGTGGTGGGATGAGAGGAAATGGGATTTGTTGGGCCATGGGGTGCTCCTTTTGGAAAGAAGTTGAGCCTGTACTAAACAAGAAAGAACACCAGTATGTTTGGGGGGGGGGCATTTATTTTTATGGTTTTGAAATGTGATTTTTATCACGTTTTTTAAATTACTAGCTACCTTGATGGCCCTCATGGGAGCAGAAAGGCAGGATACACATTTTTGTAAGTAAATCATTATGCCCGGAATGCCCCACTGAGTGTTCCACCTCCGCCCCCCCCAGGCAGTGAGCTGATTTATGCTTGCCCGCAGAGACGAATGGATCCAACCAGTTTCCAGAATGCTCTGCAGAATCCAAAACCTCCCAGCGACTCGTTAGATGAATTGATATAGGACTGGAATACCTGCCTCTCTGAAGCTATCGATGAGATTGCTGCCCGATGCCCTCTTCGCTCCTGCCCCAAACTAGCCCCATATATCATGGAGCTTAGGGAAATGAAGTGGAAACTTAGAAAGCTAAAGTGAGTTTGGCGCCAGTCTCATGACGAAGCTGCAAGAACATCCTACAGGTAATTTATGAAAACCTATGAAATGGCGGTGAAGGCTGCTAAAAGGGAAATTTTTACAGCCTCCATTGCATCCACTTGCTCTTGAGCGGCACAATTATTTAGGACAATCATGTCTTTAACTTTTCTCATGGAGAACCCAAAATATTAGCAAACTGACTATTACCTGTAAGGCTTTGCAAGCTTTTTGTGGATAAAGTCTTGTCACTCCGCCATGACCTGCCTGCCAGTACTGAAACAGTACACAAACTGGAAGCCCCTTGGTCATCTTTGAATTCTGTATTTGACAACTTCAACCAACTCTTCCAGGACGACGCTGACAGGATCCTGGGTGCTATTAAGACAACCACTTGCCTCTTGGACCCATGCCCATCATGGATGGTGAAAGCCAGTGATGAGGGAATACGGGGGGCCCTGGTGGACATTATCAATCTGTCCCTTAGATCAGGGGTCTATCCAAGAGGATTAAAAGAGGCCATGGCCTCTTCGTTAAAGTCCTCCGCCATGAAGACCATGGGCTGTTCCTTAAGTGTTCCTGCCCCGTTACGATTCTGTGTGTGTGGTATGGGAGAAATAGATGATCTGATTCATTATATTTTGAGATGTCCCCTTCACCATGACGCCTGAAACAAATTTATTGCTAATATTCTATCCATGTGGGAAGGAGCTTCAGACTTGGAAAAAGTAATACTTTTGCCTGTAGATAAGGATTCTTATGTTTCTAATAGAGTCGCTTTGTTTTCATTAGTGGCAAGAAGGATTGGAGCGAACTGTACGGAATAATAGCTATAATAAGAGTTAAAATTGTTTTGAACTTTTAAACTTTTTAAACTTGGCTGATTTTATATGGTTTAGTGCTGTATTATATTCGTAATTTTGTTGATTATTTTTGTTAATTCTGCTAACTTTGTAGTTTTAGTATGTGGAAGATTATGGTATATATTGTTATGACCAATGGTCAATACAATAAACTGAAACTGCTGCTAAAAGAGGCCATGGTAACACTGCACTTAAAGAAGAAGAGAAGAAGAGAGAAGAGAAGAAGAGAGAAGAGATTGAATTCATACTCTGCCCTTCACTCGGAATCTCAGAGCGGCTTACAAACTCCTTTCCCTTCTGTACAACAGACACCCTGTGAGGTAGGTGGGGCTGAGAGAGCTCTGACAGAAACTGTTCTTTTCAAGAACAGCTCTGACAGAACTATGGCTTACCCAAGGTCATCCAGCAGCTGCAAGTGGAGGAGTGGGGAATCAAATCCGGTTCTCCCAGATTAGAGTCCGCGCACTTAACCACTACACCAAGCTGACTCCAGGGCATATTTTAACTGACTCGGGAGAAAGCCAACCGGATCTTCGAAGCATCCAATCTGAGATAAATGTCAGTCAACCACCTAGTTACTTGCTCCTTTGCAATTTTGTTCTTTATCCCTGTTTGACATGGCTCTTTAAATGGTATCCGCAAAACAGTGGTTCGGTTATGGGCATCTCTAAAATCTTCTACAGTGAAACCAACGCAGAGACTAATGCATTTAAGGAAACATTTGTTGTTTGTCCTTTAAATTCCTGCACTGTTGAAGATGGTTTTTCTGTGGAGCCTACACCATGCTGAAATTTTAAAATGCCAAAAGCGGCAGGGTATAACTTTTTTTAAAAACGGTCCCAAAACAAACTGCTGCACTGATCTACGGAAGCGGCTGGCCTCGGTTCCTTACCAGTCAGTCAAACACAAACTTCCGTGTTTCAAAGCTCGAGGTCTCCCTTCATTTATTTGCCGGGCTGTTCCACAGCCTGTAACAGTTGAAATTCTAAAGCTACCACCAAAATCACAATAATGTTGACGATGCTACATGTGCCTTCAATTTCATGATTTGGCACTCACAAACCACAGGCAAAATTCAGTGGATTCTCAGGACTCAACAGAGGAAGGCAGTTAAAATCCCCAGCACAGAAAGTGCCAGATATTTATTATTTGTTTATTTATTTTATTTAGCTTCTATCCCGCCACAGCAGGCTCAGTGCAGCTCAATTAAGATTACAATAAGTTAAGTCTAAAAACAATACATAAAGTGCTAGCAACAGCATACAACATGGTGGGAATCCACAATCAATTAGCGCACCGTCTGGGTCATAACAGCGAGGCACAGGCTATGCAGTGATATGAATGATATTATTGATGTTATTAAAATATTGATAGCATCGCCAGGGCCTTAATCGAATGCCTGGTGGAAGAGCTCCGTTTTACGGGCCCTGCGGAACTGGAAAAGGTCCCGCAGGGCCCTGAAGTTATCCGGGAGCTCATTCCATCAGTACGGAGCCACCATCGAGAAGGCCCTGGACCTCATTGCGGCAAGCCTGGCTTCTCTAGGGCCTGGGAGGACCAGGCAATTTTGAGTACCTGATCACAGTGCTTGCTGGGGAATGTACGGGGAAAGGCAGTCCTTTCGGTACATAGGTATCACGCAGATAGTTGCAGAGGGCAGCTGTGCTGATCTGCACTAAAACAGATTCAAATCCAGGAGCACCTTAGAGACCAACAAGCGCTTCAGGGCATAAGCTTTCAAGGGTCAGCGTTCCCTCTGTCACGAGCAGAGTAGAAATGGAGTCATGTTATCTTAGTCTGAAGGTGGGGAGGGATATTGTAAAGGATGCCGTAAAGGATGCAAAGGTACCAATGCATATTGTAATCAGCTTGATCATGCAGGCTCTCTCAGATTCTCAGAAATGCTGGGACTTTCCACCAAGCAGGCAGAGTAAACTGGTCACCGAAGCAAGTAAGGGCCTATAGACTCTGCTATCTTTTAAAAAGGGGAAATCCGTCTTACCTTGAAGGGTTTGTCGCCACTGTGGGTCAGCATGTGCCTCTGCAACCAACTCTGACTTGTTGATGGCGTGTTATAAACTTTGCAGCCTTTCCATAAGCAAACGAACACCTAGTTTAAAAAAAGAAAAAAGCAGGCGTTAAAGAAGTGGGGATGTCTACCTACAAACACCTGTAAAATTGTCGCGCCGCTGACAAGATTCCCAAGTGCAGTATAAGTTTTGTTTTCTTTGGGTTTTCTACAACTGTAATGCCATTCCGGGATTAGAAAGTTGGCCGGCGCAGTTCACATCTTTGAGGGCTAACTCTGACCGTTCTTCTCTTACCAACGGCAGCAACTCCACTCCAACGGTAGCAACTCCACTCCAACGGTTTGTAGTTCAATACAACTCTCTTAAAAATTCCATACTGTATGGAAACACTACATTAAGTTCAATGTCTTCGTTTCCGGGACAAGTTTAAAGACCAAACACCAAAATTAGTTAGAACGGAGATGGGCACCACATGGTAGAGACTCTCCAGATAAAAATAAGTAAAGGTAAGGTTTCCTTTGCTTGAAAGCTAGTCAAATCTGACTCTAGGGGGCAGTGCTCATCCCCGTTTCCAAGCTGAAGAGCCAGCGCTGTCCAAAGACTTCTCCGTGGTCATGTGACTGGCATGACTAAACGCCAAGTTGCATGGGACGCTGTTAACTTCCCACCGAAGCAGAACCTATTTATCTACTTGCAATTTCTTGCTTTCAAACTGCTAGGCTGGCAGGAGCTGGGACCAGAGACGGGAGATAACTCCGTCACGTGGCACTAGGGTCTTGAACTGCTGAGTTACCGACCTTCCGATCCTCAGCGTCTTAACCTCTGAGCCCCCGCGGCTCTCCAGATAAGAATGCTAGGAACTTGTTTATTTATTTATTTCTCGTATTTGTATTCCACCCATCCCCATGAGCAGGCTCAGGGCGGCTCACATCATCTTTCAACAATTACAATAAAGTTTAAAAGCACAATATAAACATTTTGAATCAGTAGTTATAGCTACTGGTGAAAGTTCCGACCCATTAATACAGATGGATATAGCCGGTTGCTGATGGATGGCAGGTGGGAGACAGCAACTTCAGCTTGAAATTTGCTAGGATATAATCACAACATAAGGAACAGAGGACAATGACAAATACTTTAAAAACAAAAACAAACCCAAGAATAAAGTCTCTCACGAAAGAGTTCAAAGGAAGCTAGGCAAATACAGTAAGGGGATGGTTTCCCCTTGCAGAAATCTTTTTAATTATTATGAATAGTCAGGGAAAGAAACAGAATACTACAAAGTGATTACATATTTTAAGATGAGATGGCAGGTAGGTGCATTGTTAATACCACGGCTTGGATCATGCAGAGAAAAGGGGGTCAATTTTTGCCAATCTCCCCATGGAAGATTTCCAATTTCCTCTACAGCCTATTTTGAAGATCCCTTGTCCAATGCTCCCTCTAAGCTGTGGAGTCTTGTGAACAAAAATCCTACTTTGTGAGCTACTGGCATTAAAGTTGTGAGCGAGCGACTTGGCTACTGCATAAATTAGTTTGCTCTGGAGCCATCCTTTCTGAGCGGAGACAAAAATCGGTGAGCTGGAGGCTAAAAAACTGTGAGCTAGCTCACACTAACTCAGCTTAGAGGGAACACTGCCCTTGTCCGCAAGAACAGCAAGGGGGGGGGGGGTTGGGTTAGAGCAGAGGAGGGAATCTCTGAAAAATCCCCTCCCCTCCTGATCCTATCATTAGCAGCTTTGCTCAGGTCTTATAAACTGAAGGCTGTGGCTTCCTTTTGAGTCAACCCATCTCATGTTGGGTCTTCCTCTTTTCCTGCTGCCTTCATCTTTTCCTGACCTTACTGCCTTTTATGATGAGGCCAAAGAACAACACCCTCTGTTTCCGGTCTTTGTATTTCAAGCTGGAGGCTGCCAGTTTCCTTCCTCCTACCCAGAAGACTCAAGGTACAGTCTGATACCAGCTCCACTCCATTTACCGGTATTTCAGCCTGTAGAGTATTTTACACAGCCTGCCCACAGAAGAATTTAAGAGCAAGATGTGAGACATTTGCCCCCCCCCCCCCCCAAAAAAAAAAAAGTAGCTCAGGAATTCTAGAGATCTTGAAAATTGTGTACAATTTTATATTGTTTTGGTTAGTCTCAAATTGAAAGGAATCGTGGCTTCTGTTTTGGTTTGTAGATAGCAAAATCTATGGAATTCACAGGACCACAGTTCTATAAAAAGCCACTAGCATGAAAAAAATGGGCTCCTTTTATAAAATGGAAGTTTAAATGGGAAAACTGAACTTAGATAATTATTTTACACTAGTTGCAATTAGCTGACGATGTATATTATACAACACTTTATCCATTTGTACTATTTATTTTGTTCAGCGTAAGATAACTTTAGGTTGTTGCCTTGTTGGTTTATGTTTGTACTGTAACTGTTTTACACTGTTTGCTGTCACTGCAAAGATAACGATTATGTTACAGATTATGTCAAAATTGTTTCAGTATATTTAAAAAGCCACTAGCATAAGTGGCCTCTTTAAAAGGATCAGACGACTTTAGTAAGCACAGTTCCTTTGGTGTCTTAACTGGGACATCCCTTGGACTAAAAGATGTTGAAGACAGATGTCTACGGACATTTATCGTCAACTGCACTGCACGTGAAATTGCTCATGGTGCTTTGTGAATACTCAGCTGCAAGAATTATTAATCTGACCAAAGACTGGATTTCTTCTGTTCTTAAAGGCAATTCTGAAAACAGACCAAAGCACAACAAGCTGTGAGAGAAGATACTTGGGGGTCTTTGGGAGCAACAACTTTTTCCTTCTTTTGGTGACAGCAGAGGTTATTTTAATATTTAAAGTATTCTGGTTCTGCAGTTGAATACCTGATACCTCAAGTCTATTTAGAATACATCTGCTTTCATTTATTCTTCCACTTCTACACACGCTAGGATGTTACAATAACAGGCTGTCTTAGATTTCCAAGACACAGAACAAAGGCATAAGCAGTTGATACAGAGAAAAAAGCTACCTTAGAAGAGCAAAAGTTTGACTCAAAACTGAACCAGGAATTCCAGGAGCTGCACATCATCCTACTGCAGGTAACTTTCACGGGTTACAAGAATATAAGTAACTTGATTTGCAACACAAAAATGATGACTTCTGGATGAGAAACTTTGCAGTTGAAAGCCCCTTCACACGAGCCCCACAAGAAATTTGCTGACCTCATTAAACAGTGAGGTGAGGAAAATGCAGCAAGCCTGAAATGGAAGGCATGAGCTGTTCTGCAGCTCACCAGCAGATGGTGAACATCCACAAACACAACACACGAGAGGCAGTAGTAAATTGTTACTCCATTGTTTGGAAGAAACACAGCATCTTCCACCTCCAGGAGGCAAGATTCTCACTGCATTTAATACCTTCTTTTTCCTAAGGCCATGGAACACAAAGCTGAAAAGTCACACTTCTCTGGAAACTGTCAGGATAAGGATGTGACATTTTACTTAAAATATTGCGTGCTGATTGAAACATGACACAATAGTTCACAAATATACAAATTCTCGCAATGGCCTGGAGTAGAAATGAAGTAGGAATTTTGTTTTATACTTTTTTGTATTCTTTTTTTTTAAAGTACCCATAGGTACACGCTTTTATTATTTCTCATATTATACACATACATACATACATACTTTTTGTATTCTTGTGTGCTCTGTATGGGCTGAGTGTGGTGGGGCAAAAATAAATAATTTGTATGCTGGTTCTGCCTCTTTTTTAATTTCAGATAGATAAAGATACAATTTGGTTTCTGAAAATTTTTAAAAACAGGGAAGAAAGGCAGGATGTTTACAGCCCACTAGAACTGAAATCTTTTTACAATCTCCCCTCGATGCATCAGTGGTACCAAAAGGTATGGGAGTATTTTTTACTGGACAAGACCTTAGACTGGATTGCGCAGCAAGATAGAGGTTACCTCTACTAGAATTATGGCCAAATGGTCATTATGGCTAGATGGTATTGCTGACTCAGAAGGAACCTTACAGAAAGGACCTTTAATTGTTTCACACACCTTATAGCTTTACCATTAAATAGTTAAAAGATCTTTAAAACTGGCTTGAACTCCATTTATTTTTATTTTTAATTATTTAAATGATAAGCTCAAAATTAGCAGATAACTTGTAATGGCAATCCTTGATTCACCACAAACTTAATGATTATTTTGTAATTCTTTTCATTCATGCTTTACTAAGTACCACATTGTATTTTATTTTGATCTTCAATAAACAGTTTTAAATTAAAAAGATCTTTTTACAATAAATTAAGGTCTACATTAGAGACTCTGGAATGTTTGTCCATGCCACCTGAACAACTGCTAATCAACTCCAAAGTAGATTTCTTTGTACTATTTGGCTCAAGTCTGTGATATGCATATGACTCTTCTGTAAACAATTTTCCTGGAATGGATACAGAAGATGGAAAACTTGATAGCAGACCAGAATGTGAAACATTCCAGATGATCTATCTTCATTGCCTGATTGCAAGACAAGTAACTCTGGCATGCTACAATCATGTTTAAACTTGGTTTTGAAGCCTACTTAATGAATCTAAACAAATTTTCTTTAAGAAAGGTTCTTATAATTTTTGTCAATAGATTTAGACACATAATAGTATAATATTTATTTTAATTTAGAATGCTGCACTTTGATATGCCCCAATCATTTCACATATTTTCATCATAATTTTGCCAAACAAGTAAAACTGGTGTAAATAATCTGGGACCTAATTAGGTAACACCTTGAGTCTCAGCACAAAAGGCAGACTAGGAATTAAAGTAAATACACAACACAAGTCACACATGCTCCCATTCACTTCCTCTTCTCATCCGAGCACATCTTCACCATCAGTAACCAGGTTTCCTGTCTTAACGAGAACTGAATTCAGGATCGGAATTCTGAAAATCCTAGCTAAAATGCACATTCTAGATTTAATGGCTTCTAAAAGAAAGGGTAATTCCTAAACAATATTCACATTTTAAGACTGCTTCGTCCAAATGTCAAATAAAAGTGACAGCAAACATCACTATGGTCCAATTGCATTAAAGACCTCACATTATATGTACACAATAGAATCCTACCACTATAAATAGATATTTAAAGAATATGTCGCTATAGGTAGGGGTGGGCAAAAAAATAATAATTCGGCCTATTCTGATTCTGCCGAATCAGGCAGAATCAATTTCGGCTGGCAGTAAGACTCCCGCATGTCAGTTTCATCAGTACCAGCTGATTCAGGAGTCTTTCCTCCAGCCAAATGTCAATTTCAGCCCCATTATATCCTATTGGCCATTGAAGTCAGTGGCGAAAACATAGGGTATATCCTGGGGGGTGGAGGGGAGGGGGCTTGAGGGAGAGGCTCCAAACCGCAGGGTAGCTGCTGGAGCCTCTCCCCAAGAAACCAACCAAGTTTCAAGAGCATTGGACCAGGGGGTCCAATTCTACGGCCCTCAAACAGGTTGCCCCTATCCCCTCCATTGTTCTCTATGGTGGGGAAAAAATTACTTGTTTGGTGGCCCATAGCCTTGTGAGTGGTCTTGTTTCACTGGCCAACTGATAGCACAGGACTATTAAGTTTGCTAAGAGAAGATTTGAATGCCCTGGTGATGGTGGAAGGTGCTGTCACGTTGCAGCCAACTTATGGCAACCCCACAGGGTTTTCAAGGCAAGTGACATTCAGAGGTGATTTGCCCTTGCCAGCCTCTGTGTAGTGACCCTGGTGTTCCTTGGAGGTCTCCTGTCCAAATACTATCCAGGGCCAACCCTGCTTAGCTTCTGAGATCTAACAAGATCGGGCTAGCCTGGGCCATTCAGGTCAGGGCTGAATGACTCAGCTACTGAACTGTTCATACATGAAACAGATTTCAGGCCACTTAAATAAATATACACCAAGTATTTTAATTATTTTAAAAATGTACAAAGTATAGTGACACTGGAGCCCCTGTGATGAAGCAGTTTCTGTGTAAGACCAAAGGTTCAAATTCTGGAGGACACTGAAGTTCCCAATGCTGTATATGTTGATAATGAAGATTATGGAATGTGCTGAAATGGACAGATTGACAAATATATCAAAAGGAAAAATGGAAGAAGAATTTATGGGACCGTGGAGGGCATTTTATGACCGGCTAAAACTTAAGTACTGAGAAAATAAGATTAAATGAATAATAAAATGATGGATATAGTAGTTGTGAAGCTCTGAGAAGATTTGCATGCAGAATGTTAAATTGGATATATGGATATATGGAGATTTCTGTTTTAAAATTCTGTTTTAAAAAAGGTTCAAATTTCCTCTCCACCATGAAGTTCACTGGGTAGGTCTATCCTGACTTGGCTATCTTTCGAGTTAGATCTAAATCAGAGGCTGTTGTAAGAATAAAGTAAGAGAAGAAGATAATACCCTACGATCCTTGGAGAAATGGCAGAAAAAAAATTAAAATCAATAAAACAAAATAAAAAAGACAGCATTTAGCATTAATAGAACTGCAATAATTCCATACACAAAAATACACACACAATGCAGACACTATTTTAAAAACCAATAAAACAAAACCAACCCCTCCTTGCTGGCCATCTACATGTATCGAGCGAATGTGATCTGCCAGATCCGGGCTGGAGTTGAAGCAGGCATGGCACTGGTCCCAACAGCAGTTATAGGCAATACTTTTTGTGGATGAAGCAGTAACTCCTTGTCCGTTCATCATAACTGGAGTAGAACGACCACTGGAAATTGTGCTGTCCGCATCCATTATGGTACTGCTTATGCTACAACAAGTGGGAAAAAAGAATAAGTTAATCAAACTGCTGAGTATCTTCAGTAATGTCACTATTTCAATTACGTTTATTTCTGCTTAAATTGTAATACACTAAGTTAACCACAAAAGCTAACCAATATTAACATTAAGTACATCGCACAAAGCAAATACTGGCAATTGTAAGCATGGTTCTAGTTGTTCAAATATTTTATTTTTAAACAAACTAACCACAACACAACAAAGTTTGAGTCCTGTGGCACCTTTAAGACCACCAAAGTTTTATTCAAGGTATGTATGAGCTTTTGTGCGCACACAAACTTCAAGACTTTGTTGGAATTAAAGGAGCCACTGCCCACTGGACTCAAACTTTGTTCTACTGCTTCAGACCAACATGGCTGACCATATGGGTCTAACCTCAATACAGACTGCAAGGGACTTTGGCTGCACTGAGATATCATTAAAAAGCCTTTATTTGACTATTATGCGAACAAGCAAGTAGCCTCTGGACTTGCATGTCCCCCACACAATGCATGACTGGGAAATTAAAAGCTTAGTTTGAAACTGGCAGCACTTTTTGCTTGACCTATGAAAACTGAAATGTCTAACTATGATTCATTCCCCTGTTTACAGAGCAGGAGCAAACTATTGTCTCGTGCCCGGTTAGTTAGCAAGTGGACAGTTTTTCATTTTACTTCTTCACCCAAAGAGTGATTAACACATGGAATTCTCTGCCACAGGAGGTGGTGGCAGCTACAAGCATGGACAGCTTCAAGAGGAAATTGGAGAAACATATGAAGCAGAGGTCCATCAGTGGCTATTAGCCACAAGGTATAGATAGGAACTCTCAGTCTGGGGCAACTGATGCTCTGTATTCTTGGTGCTTGGGGGGAAGCAACAGTGGGAGGGTCCCCACTGCTGGACCTCCTGATGGCACCTGGTATTTTTGGTCACTATGTGACAGAGTGTTGAACTGGATGGGCCATTGGCCTGATCCAACATTGGCTTCTCTTATGTTTTTATGTTCATTTTGTCCAGTTTGACCATCACAACAAACCGCAAAAAAAACTTCATTCAGCTTGGCCATGCACTAATGGAGGGGAAGACTGAAAACACCCCGGCTCATTCTCATCACAGTCAAACTAACAGTCAAGTCCATGATGTCTGAGCACAGCAGCCAGGGTCAAGTTCCAGCTGTGGACCACGCATTGGTTCCAACAGGATATTGCAAATGCTCAATTTCTTCCATCGCGATTCCTAAAATTGTACTTTAAAAAAAATTCCCTTATTGTCCACCTTTCTCATTGAGGCTGGATTAATTTTCTCTCAGCCGCACAAGTAAGCAGTGTCTTTCACCATTCACACCATGATTGGGGATGGTAGTTTGGAAGTGATAAACTCAGCATTATTATTTAATATATGTATGTCGCCTCTCTAGAGAGCCTGCTTGAATTGGCTCACAAGGTAAGACAATACAATAATATCATTAACAGAAAGGCAAAATTATCAACATTAAGTCAGGCTATTTCTCTGATTTCGGGAGCGGTGTTGAGAGACCTGAGTCAGACTGAGGTGACAAGAGAGGAGGTCCTACGACTGATAGACAACTTAAAAACTGATAAATCACCAGGCCCGGTTGGCATACATCCGAGAGTTCTGAAAGAACTCAGATGTGAACTTGTGGATCTTCTGACAAAAATATGTAATCTTTTATTAAAATCTGCCTCCATTCCTGAGGACTGGAAGGTAGCTAACGTCACTCCCATCTTTAAAAAGGGTTCCAGAGGAGATCTGGGAAATTACAGGCCAGTCAGTCTGACTTCGATACCGGGTAAGTTGGTGGAAACTATTATTAAGGAAAGAATTAATAGGCACATAGATGAACAAAAACTACTGAGGAAGACTCAGCATGGGTTCTGTAAGGGAAGATCTTGTTAGTGTTCTTTGAGGGAGTGAACAAACATGTGGACAAGGGGGACCCAATAGATGTTGTTTACCTTGACTTCTAGAAAGCTTTTGATAAAGTTCCTCATCAAAGGCTCCTAAGTAAGCTCAATAGTCACGGGATAAAAGGACAAATCCTTTTGTGGATCAAAAACTGGCTGATTAGTAGTAAACAGAGAGTGAGTATAAATGGGCAATTTTCTCAGTGAAAGGTGATAAGCAGTGGGGTACCGCAGGGATCAGTACTTGGTCCGATGCTTTTTAACTTGTTTATTAATGATTTGGAGGTGGGAGTACGCAGTGAAGTGGTTAAATTTGCAGATGCTGTCTCAAAGCAGACAGAACGGAACCTTGGATACTCACTGGGAGGGTTCCTTTTCCCGCCTAATTAGGGAGAGCAGCTTTGGAGCGGAGCTCTATGCTCTTTTTTTAATTTGCTTTTCTCCCAGAGTGACTTCATACCTGAGGGACAGCTTCCTAACCTCTCCAGTCTGCCTCTCTTTCTCTTCACACCTCCTCTTGGCTCTGCTGCTTCTTTTGCCTTTGCAGCTTTTTTCTCTGCTCCCCACTCCTTCCTTGGAGGAATGTGGAAGGGAATGGCCCAGCTGCAAGCCTCAGAGGTTTTGGAGAGATGTAAGAGAGACAAATTTACCTCTGAAAATGATGGCGACCCTTCTGATTCTTGCAAAGAGAGCTCCTTCACCAAGTCCAGCTCAGAGTGGCTTAAGAAAGGCATTATAAAAAAAGGCACAAAAATGGCTCCTCAGGTGCAAATGGCTCTCTTGGCTGTCTGTTTGGCCCCTGGAGGCTACGATGGCATGCCAGGCTCCCTCACTGGACACCCCCCTGGCTTTCTCAGCTGCCAGTTCAGCCCCGGGGGCTACAGTGGTACAGTGCCAGGCTCCCCCGTTGGCACCTCCCAGTTCTTTGGCAGCCAGTCTGGCTCCCAGAGGGCTACGGTGGCATGCCAGAGTCCTCCGTTGGACCCTCCACTGAACCAGAGGGACTCCTTGACCACCAGAGATCTTCAGGGGGTAAGGTGCTCTCCCCCCCCCACAAGGTTGTGGGAGGGTGGAATCCTTGCTCAGCTGAGACTATATAAAAAAGTAAAGATAAATGTTCCCTTGCTCGAAAGCCAGTCGAATCCGACTTTAGGGGGCAGGGCTCATCTCCGTTTCCAAGCCGAAGAGCCAGCGCTGTCCGAAGACGTTTTTGTGGTCATGTGGCCGGCATGACTAAATGCCAAGGCACACAGAATGCTGTTACCTTCCCCCCGAAGTGGTACTTATTAATCTACTTGCAATTTCTTGCTTTCGAACTGCTAGGTTGCAGGAGCTGGGGCCAGAGACGGGTACTAGGGTCTCAAACTGCTGAACTGCAGACCTTCCAGTCTGCAGCTCAGTGTCTTAACCTCTGAGCCACCACAGCTTTTAAAAAGAGCCATGAGAGAGAAGCCGCAAGGCATACAAGTGTGCTCCTCTCCCACCCCAAGTGGGGGCGGGGGGCTGAGTAGACAGATTATCAACAAAACAAATGATCCATCAAATGGGAAATCTTCCTACGAATTGTGGCTCGACTTGGAATACCAGAAGCAGATCTTTCTGCCTCAGCATCCAGTCGTCAAGCCCCAAGATTTTTCTCCGGATCCCATCTCCCTCAGTCAGAACGAGCAGATGCGGAAACCCCTCTGTGGCCCAAGGACCCACTGTATGCCCCTCCGCCCCTTCCCAATGATCCCAAGCTCTATGGAAGATACGTCAGGAGCAGATGAAGGGAATCTTTGTGGCTCCAGATTGGCCCTGCAGGCCATGGTTTCCATCCTTGGTGGAACTCCTCAGTTCAGGCCCTCTGGGAGATTTCCTTGAGCCCAGACATATTACAGCAGGGACCAATTTGGTACCTGGATCCAGAGGGGCTCCACCTGACTCTTGAGAGGAATGGGCTCCTGAATTTTGGCTACTTCTTGAAGTTTGCAAGATCACCATGGCTTCCAAGAGGGCCTCCACAAGATGCATCTGCAGCACTACATGGGAAAGAATTTCGTTGAGGTGGTGCTAATACAAGCACATCAACCCCCTCAACCCCAGCCTTGACCATCAGTTTGGCCCTCCTTCAGAGGGTGTTCATCAAAAAAACAACAACCTACAAATACCCACCCTTTGTTGCCATGCAGCAGCTACAGCCACAGTCATACCATATGTAGCTCGCATCCCTTAACATATCTTCTGCTTTCCCCACGAGGTTGCGCAGATCAACCCTACTGTGGTCCACAGATTCCCTTCACAGAGACTATATATAGTTCTTTTGGCTCCTATTAACCCTCCTTTTGAGTTGTTAAGGGAGGTTCCCCCTAAAATGGGAACGCAGAAAAACCCTCTTTCTCACAGCAGTGATTTTGGCTAGAAGGCTGTTGGAACTAGGAGCTTTGTCAGCCAGAAGAGGCCTTCATGTCTTCCACAAGGACAAGGTGATGCTCAGGCCTGATCCCACTTTTACCACCCAGGTGAACTTAACTTTCCACAGGAGTCAGGGGATTCATGTCCCTTCCTTCTGCCTGCATCCAAGCCATCCCAAAAAGAGAGTGGCTCTTCTCACACCTCTGGAGGGCTCTCAGACTCTACCCCAATGTACGGGCTCCATCAGAAAGATGGACTCTTTTCATTTTATTAACAGCCCCAAATAAGAAGCGTGGGACAACGTGGCAAATGTAAGACACCAAATGTACAACCGAAGAATCCAAGCCAATGTGAATCCAGAGAATCCTCCAAGCCAAACAGAATAGGAACACTGCTGGAAGCCCAACTGTAAAATCAGAGAATCCAACCCCAATGTACAAGCCAAGAATCCAAGGCAATGCTGCAACACAGAATCCACTGCAAACCACAAACCAGACACAAACCAACAGGCTCAAAGAACGCAATGTTTCAAGACCCACAGAACTAATTTCAAAGCACAGAATCTAAGCCAAATCAACCTGGCAAACTGAAACCAAGCCCTGGAATGAAGACAGAGAGACACAGCAAAATTCAAAGGGGGGGAAAAAGTCCTGGGAGCCTTAAAACCATTGAC